CTAATAATAAAATTTGTTACTGATGAATGTTTTAATTTTTCCCTGTTGATTTTTTTTATTTTTATTCTTAATCATTGTTAGTTGTTTTTTCAGTTGCTGTTGATTAACGAAAGAGCTACAGCACAGTTTTATTTAATGTTTTTAAATTATAAAATGCATGTTTACCTGCAATATGGATAAGTATTTCCCTTTAAGATGATTTAAAGTCACTTACTGGAACTTCATTTTCAACTAAACTAGTTTCAGGAGAACATTCACTCTCACTCCCTAGATAAACATTTTCTGGCATATATTTATGGGTGCCTCTTGGTGAAAATCAGCGAATTTTGGCGGTACATGAACATTGGTTTGTGCAATTCTTTGACTTGTTATTTTGGTTTTATGTAGCGGTGGGTATTGACCTTAGAAATAAAGCTAACACTGTTTTTTTTTTTTTTTTTTTTTTTTTTAATTTAGTTATTGTTATTATTATGTAAAGTTTGCATGTGATAAACTCCAAACATAATACATGTGTTCTTGCATTGCTATATACATACGAGGTGTATTCGGAAACTAAGTACCGTTTTGAAAAAGAAAAAAAAAAAAAAAAAAAGTAAAACAATTTTTTCGAATCCAATTTTTTTTTTTTACATGAAAATACATGTCTTAAACTATTTTTTAACATAGTTTCCGCCAAAGATCAAACACTTTTCATAGCGGGTGACCAGTTTTTGTATCCCATCGTCAAAGAAACTTCCCACCAGTTTTGATAACCACGACTCCACAGCATTATTTGTGTCGTCAGATCCAAAGCACTTGCCACCAAGCTCGCACTTCATGTGCAGCAACAAGTGATAGTTGGACGGTGCCAAGTCCGGGCTGTACGGCGGGTGATCGAACTGCTCCCAATGAAACTGTCGAATTAACGATTGAGTGACACCAGCAGTATATTGTCATAGAGCAACACAATTCCTTTACTGAGCATTCCTCTTTATTTGTTTCGGATGGCCCGCCTTAGTTTTGTTAAAGTCTCACAATATCGTGCCGCATTAATGGTTTCACCTCTGGGAAGAAATTGAGTAAGCAAAACGCCTTTCCTATCCCAGAAGACAGTGCACATGTTTTTTTTTTTTGTGATGACATAGTCACTTTTGTTTTTTTTGGAGAATGAGTGTGTCTCCCTCCATCGATTGTTGTTTCGATTCTGGTGTGAAATGACACACCCAAGTTTCATCACCTGTCACAATTTGGTTTAAAAAGTTTTCTCCCTCATCACTGTACTGCGTGAGAAATGTCAGGGCACTACCAAGTCGCTTTGTTTTGTGAACATCAGTGAGCAGTTTTGGAACCAATCGGGAACACAGTTTGCGATAATTCAAGCGGTCAGACACAATTTCGAACAAAACAGTACGTGAAATTTGTGGAAAGGAAATACCTCTGAAAGAGTTGTCATGTGAAGCATCTGTTCTCATGAATTGCTCATCAACTTTCCTTACCAAATCATCGGTGACAACAGAAGGCCAACCACTCCGAGCCTCGGCGTGGACATTTGTTCGACCTGCATTAAACATTCTTACCCACTTTCTCATCATTCCATCACTTATCGCGTATTCACCGTAAACTTCTGTCACTTGACGATAAATTTCGGCCTGTTTAACATTCCTCGCGTTCAAAAATTTAATCACGGCACGAATCTCACAGTCAGCGGGAGAACTAATTGTCTTAAACATTTTGAATGTGCACAGCAAACTGAAAACACAACATAGAGCAACCAAAATGCTGACAATTGAAAGTCAGTGAACAAGAAAGACTAGTGCGCATGCGCGGGACGCCTACCACAACGCTGCTATGGCGCTAGAATGAAACAGTACTTAGTTTCCGAATACGCTACGTACATTTCGACAGCTGAGTGAGTTGTCTATCTTGGTGAATAAGGCATTCGGTACTTTTCCGTTTTGCCGGCGCAAATCTCACCAAGCAGACTTTCATGGAGACATAATGCAGTATACTCATAAAAAATGTTAACAAATTTTAGTTCTAAGAATTTTTTATTTTGAAGACATAAACATTTTAATATGGTTTAAAATTTTGTAAAAAGCCAATAACTAAAGACAATAAATTTGCAAAAAGACATTAATTTAAGAATTTACTATGCTTTTATTGTTCAACATCCTGATTCGTCGGTTCAAATCACGTGACCCAAAATGATCTCATCTCACGTAAACTACGCTACAAAAATCTAATTCTCTCAATAATTATTTACATTAATTTCAAGTTAAATCTTAATTTGGAATACAAGTTTAAATGCAAAAATTATTTCAATTCGTACGAATAGCTTACTCAGAAATTATGTAAAACTGCAGTGCTCTACTCTGCTAGTGCATTCTCATTAGAAATGATGAATTTAATCCTTGATTTTGCCTTTTCTATATTTTCGCCTTCGGGTGAGCACTGTGATCGCATCCTAATTGACTTAATTACTGTGAATGGGCTTAGGGCATAAAATTTAACTACCTTGTCAAAATTCTATGTAAAAAGTATATTTTAGGGTATCCCTTGGTGAAACTTTGTGATTTTTGGCGGTACATGGACATGGAGTTTGTGCAATGCTTTGACTTGTTATTTTGTCCAGCGTAGTGGCGATTTTTGGCGCAAAAATTGCCGCTATGCAAGCCAAATTAATAAGTCAAAGAATTGCACAAACTCGGTATCCATGTGCACATTGACCTATTTTCACTTTAAAAAAAATCCCTGAATTGCACAAAAATGGCATTATGCACTCCCTTGATTTTATCCATGTACACATTGACCTATTTTCACTTAAAAAAAAAATCCCCGAATTGCACAAACTATGCTTTACGCACTCCCTTGAGTTTGTCCACATCGATATATTTTCACTTAAAAAGTCAAAGCAGCACCCAATTCTACAGTAGAGGCAAACAAAAAATACATAATCTCAATAAACTACATTTTAAACCAAACAGTAAAATAACATAAAAAAGGAAAAACCTGTTATGTATTTTAGCACTACACAAAGCAAAAATCCCCTTACCTTATTTAGAAATGCAGTCTGTGGCACTCAAAATTCCTTAACAGCATCCAAAAACTTCCTAAAATTATCTGAACTACAATCCATATATTGGCGTCGCCACAGAAATTCACAAAAATATACTACGTAGTTTTGGACTATGGCTACTAAGTAAACCTTCATTTACACAATTAATTCACTCAATTAATGCACATTTCTCCTTTCGTTCCAAATCGTACGGAAACTCCAAATTAATCCTATTACATTCATCCATTGTACCGTCTAAACAATGAAACAAGCAATGTACTTCCTAAGCAATACATACCACAAAAGCCTTTACAAAACATCCCATGCTTCAAAATTTTCCCAGAATAATGCAAACGATTATGTCATTATAGGGTTTCCATAACATTTAACTACTAAGGTTACCATAAATGATACAACAACTTGGCAAGAAATGAAACAACAACTTTGCGATAATACAAAGGATACCTTAAACTCAACTCTAACCATTCTGTGTAATTGTATGCCAGTATTGAAAGAGACAGTCAATCTGATAAGAAATGGCTGCGACTTGTTTTGAAAATGAAGCATAAAAAGTTACCAGCGAAGATATTCAGTTTGGCATCAGTTCTACAATTATTGGCGACTTTATCGTTTGTACCGGCAAAACAGAAAAGTACTGGGCATTCTTTCCTCATGAATATTTTTTATTAGCAGTGAAGAAACAGGCTGCAGCAAAGTTGCTGTTATCAGGTTAGACAGTAACATGTGGTATCTTTTTTTTTTTTTTTTTTTAAATTTTATTTTTATTGTTTAAAATTGAAGTAATGTGCCTTTTATATGGTGCAATGTCCAATTTATGTTGTTGAATCGATTTCCTCTAATATGCGAGACATTTGACTGCCACATTAAGTGTTATAAATTTGGTTATATATTACAGTCAAAAGTCGTTAATCCGGACTCGTCGGGACTTCGGCGATTCCGGATTATAGATCATCAGTTTAAATCTGGTAAGATGGCATGCAGAAATTATAAAATTAAAAATATGAAACCGTAATTTGTGAAATAAAGAACAATTATGATCTAAAGGGTATCAAAATTTACAAAAAAAAAAAAAAAAAAAAAAAGCTTAATATTTATTTGTTTACTTTATTAAACATTTCTTTCAATGTAAGTTAAGTTGCTTCGTTTTATGTGATAATACTTTCTCTTTAATTCTATAAACAGACATAATTTCTTGTTCAGTTACAAAGTTCCGCTGTTCAAGGTCCTATAATTGCTGTGTCGAGAATACCGACTACTTTGTCAATCGCAATTTTTTCGTTTTCAATAACCTCTGTGTCACTTTCTTCACTATCGGAAGCGAATTATAATGACGAGGTATTTGATTTAAATCATATCAAAGACGGAGTACATCTAGATGAAATACTACATTTAGTAAGGAATTATAAGCCAAATAAAATAAAAACATCTGCCCTGAAGATAAAGATAGTGCTGACAGGTCAACTTCCAATTCATTGCATGCCGCGGTATTTTGTAATGGTTAGAGAAACAAACGATATGCCTTTATATACTTTTTGTTTGATGGACATCGAAACATACTTTTGCTTTGTAGAGCCTTTGGGAGCTCCAATATCGGAAATTCTATTTGACATAATCGAAAGTTCAAGCTTACTTTTATAAAATTTCTCTAACAGTCTGCAAAAAATAATAAGCCTGATGAATATGAAATAGAAATTTTCATATGAGGTCTGCCATGATGTCTTATCAAGAAATAAGAAACATATTTATTGCTGCTAATTTGGATCTCCTTTAAGCTCTATTGTGGAATCTGCATTACATAAAATTCTAAAATGTATGTGCCTACTTTTTCAGCTATCCTACTCTAATGAACATAAAGAAATTCAGTATCAGATTTTTTTTTTCTTTAAATTATTTGACAAAATTTGAAAGACAATAAAAGTATAACAAAGTATTAATTTTTTTACAGGTTTGGAAGCTTTTAACTACACACAGTAAACGAACAATCAAAATGAGTGGTGGTGTGTATGGAGGTGATGAAGTAGGAGCATTAGTATTTGACTTTGGTCATTACTCCATTCGTGCTGGATATGCAGGAGAAGATACTCCCAAAGCTGACATCCCTACTATGGTTGGTGTTATTGATGAGCAAGCTTCAGATGCTATGGAAGTTAATGGTAACACGAATACTTCAAGTGAAAATAGTACTCAGAAAAAGTATTTTATAGATACTACTAGCATTCATGTTCCCTTCAAAGGTATGGAAATTACTTCATTTTTAAAAGATGGAATGATAGAAGATTGGGATCTTTTCGAACGAGTCTTGGATTATGTTTACAGCAAGCATATTAAATCTGAGCCTCATCTGCACCCTGTTCTAATGTCTGAAACCTCCTGGAATGCCCGTTCAAAGCGAGAAAAGTTAACCGAATTGATGTTTGAGAAGTACAACATTCCTGCTTTTTTCTTGAGTAAGAATGCTGTGCTTGCTGCTTTCGCTAATGGTCGGTCAACTGGAATAGTTGTAGACAGTGGTGCGAGCCAAACTTCTGCAGTGCCAGTTCACGATGGATATGTTCTGGCACAAGCAATTGTTAAGTCTCCACTTGCTGGTGATTTTGTTTCCATGCAGTGCAAACAATATTTAGAGGAAAATCATATAGAGGTAATTCCTCCTTATATGATAGCATCTAAAGAAGCTGTTAAGGAAAATGATCCTGCTAAGTGGGTTCGAAAACCTAATTTACCAGAAGTTACTAAATCTTGGCATAATTATATGGTTAAAGAAGTTTTGCAGGATTTTCAAAGCTCAGTATTGCAAGTATATGAAGCTCAGTATGAAAAAGAGGCAGTGGAAAACATGCCTATTGTTCATTATGAATTTCCTAATGGCTATAATCAGGACTTTGGTGCAGAACGTTTTCAAATTCCTGAAGCCCTTTTCGACCCTTCAAATATCAAGGGAATACCTAATACTACTACCATGATGGGAGCTGCACAAGTGGTCACAACTAGTGTTGGTATGTGTGACATCGATGTTCGTCCCAGTCTTTATGGAGGTGTTATTTTAACTGGAGGAAATACTTTAATTCAAGGATTTACTGAAAGACTTAATCGTGATTTAGCTGCAAAAACACCTCCAAGTATGAGATTAAAAGTAATTAGTTCTAATAATGGAGCTGAACGTAGATTTGGCTCTTGGATTGGTGGATCAATTTTGGCATCTTTAGGAACTTTCCAGCAGATGTGGATAACTAAACAAGAGTATGATGAAGGTGGAAAAACTCAAGTTGAAAGAAAGTGCCCTTGACAGGCTCCTTTTTCAAACCCATAACTTCCATTCTAATATTGACATTGTCATATCTTCATTATTTTTAAATTATGCTTTTTCAACTGAATGGAAAATTTAATTTTAGAAGCAGTGAAAAATATCTTCATGCAGAGTAATTGTAAAAATCTGAACAAAATTCATTTTTGCACTTTATGATTATTTAAGAATAAAAATTGTTGTTCAGAATATTATCTATAAAATATGGGAATCTTCTGCATTGTCAGTTAATTTTTTGGAGTACAACTGGAGATCTCTATACGATATCAACTGGAACATTTTTTGAAATGGTTATTATTTTGTGTATATTTACAGGGAATGTTTTAATCATTTATACTGAATAAGAGCTAAAACTAAAGGGTAAGAATACAATGAAAAGACTGTGATGAAACCATACAGTTACATGCTTAATTGCGTCTACTCAAGAAACGACAAGTATATAGAAGATCTGTCATGTTAAGTCTTTAATGATCCACAATATGAGTAACTTTATATCGTTTCCCCGTATGTGTAGCTATAATCTTAGTCAGATGTTAATTGTATTTCTACTTGGTGGTATTTGTATAGTCTTTGTAACATTGTCATCCCATTAACTGACTCTGGACCATTATCAGAATCTACTTTAACTGGATAGAGTAAGTTGCATGATGATGACTTTTGTCTTCTGTGCATCTGCAGCGATTCTGTAGAAAGTTTTTACAAATGCTGGTAAATTTCTCATATATACGTGCTCTAAATATTTTTGAGAAAAATTGGCATTTGTTTATTATCAGATCAATATTTTGGTGTTAAATTTGATATTCAGATTTTGACACCAGAACTTTTTTATGGTAGCTAGGAATTGTATTTAAACTTTACTGTGTGATGGAATTTCGTTAAAAATACAGAAAGGTTGAATATACTTACAAATGATTAGACGTAAAATGAAAATAATTTAATACATGGGAAATTAAATATGCAGGGTTGCTGAAAATCCCCATTCACTGTGCAGTTTAAATATATAAAAGATAGGCATAAAATTACCGTTTGTGTTCATGCTTAATTCCAGGCTAATGAATTTGAGCAACAGGACAATGTTTAAAGTGTCCAGAAATTTAAGTAGGTTTTTCTATACATATTAATGTGGTATGATTTCTGATAAGAAATGTGAATTAAACGGCTTTTTAAGCACATATGAATACCATGTGCTGAAATAAAACTGCATAAGTGCAAATTTTTTTAATGTACCTTATAAAATGTTTGGAATAATTTTTTTTATAGTTTCACTAAAAACAACTGTTACTGTTTTTGTAACCTGTCATGATTTTATTGTCTTTTAGCTTTCTTTTTATAACATTCACTTTATTGTGTGACCATACTTGATATGTAAATGTAATGTAAAATGCCAAATACTGTTTAATCTCCACGCCAGTGTTAATTTTAAGTAGTTTGTTATACAATAATGAGTAATATTGTTCTTAAAATAATGAACAGATATGAAAAAACAAAACTTTGTTCTTGTTTTAAGAATTTCATACTGTATATAATATCATACCATATATTGCTTCAGTAAAAATTAGTGCCAGTGTTAATTTGAAGTACAGTCAAAAGTCGTTAATTCGGACACCCATAATTCGGAATGTTCTATAATCCGGACCTCAAAACTAAAAACTTTCTGCGCATGCGCCGTTGACACATGCGCATAGGTGTTTACGCGTGCGCGTAAGACCTTTTACGACTGCGCATATGAGAGTGCGCAAGTGCAGAATACGTTTTCGCGTGCGCGTTTTATGTATAATGGACGTATAAGCTAAAATTATTTAATTATCTATTTCAGTTAATGTTGATGATTGCGTTGTTCCTTAATTTTCGAATTGGATCCGGCTTATTATTTTTTGCAGACTGTAATGCAATTTTATAAAAGTAAGCTTAGACTTTCGATTACATCAAATAGAATTTCCCATATATATTTGTTAATATGTAAGGGATCTAAAGCGAAAGTATGTTTTGAAATCCGAAATCTGTTTATCAATTTCACGCTGCTCGGCGGGGGAACGCCGCCCGGCGTAATGAATTGGAAGTTGATCTGTCAACACTATCCTTATCTTCAGGGCAGATGTTTTTATTTTATTTGGCTTATAATTCCTTACCAAATTAGTATTTCATCTCGATGTGCTCCGTCTTTGATATGATTAAAACAAATTCCTCGTCATTATAATTCGCTTCCGATAGCGAAGAAAGTGACAGAGGTTTAGTGAAAACGAAAAAATTTCGATTGACAAATTAGTCGGTGTTCTTGACACAGCAATTATAGGACTTGAACGGCGGAACTTTGTAACTAAACAAGAAATTATGTCTGTTTAATAGAATTAAAGAGAAAGTATTATCACATGAAACGAAGCAACTTAAACAACTTACATTGAAAGAAATGTTTAATAAAGTAAACAAATAAATATTAAGCTTTTTCTTTTTGCAAATTTTGATACCCTTTAGATCATAATTGTTCTTTATTTCATAAATTACGGTTTCATATTTTTAATTTTAGAATTTCTGCACGCCATCTTACGAGATTTAAACTGATGATCTATAATCCGGAATCGCCGAAGTCCCGACGAGTCCGGATTAACGACTTTTGACTGTAGTTTGTTGTATAGTTATCAGCAATATTGTTCTTAAAATAATGAACAGATAAGAAAATCACAAAACTTTATTCCTGTTTTAAGAATTTCAAAGTGTACATAATATCATACCGTATACTGCTTCAGTAAAAATTATTTGTGAATTTAATCTTGAAAATTAACTGTGAAATTGTTGTAATTTTTTTTTTTGTATGTTTGATAAAAGAAATTAAGTTGAAAACTGTTGTTTCTCTTAACTCTGTCTATGAAATTCTATATCCAATATGTTGATATACTTTTTGATTTAATATGAGTAAGTTTTGAAAGGTTTAATGCATGTAGTATAAGAAAAGTTATTAGTTATAATAAAAACTATCATTACATTACAAATAATTTTCATTTTCATAATTGGTAATTTTTTTTAACTGAAATGATGCTCATTTAATACCTATATATAAATACTGTCATATTTCTTCAGTTGTAAGATCTACTCTTTAATTTCATTACCATCAATGGAGCGAAGAGAGAACATTGATTCTAAGAAACTGAAATAAAATTTTAAATGTTGCAAGTATTTTTCAACAATTGATATTGATTTATTAAAAACAGTATTAGATGCTTAATATCTTCAGCCACCGTAGCTAGTAAAAGTTTTCAAATTGTCAGAATAGGCCAAACTCTGGAAAACATGTGCGTAACATTTCTTTAGTTTTAACAAGCAACATCACCATTTTTATATATGTTCTCTTTTGTCATATTCCGAGTTCCAGCAGTTTTTACAGACAAATCCTCATATTTTTAAGCTTAAACCATATTTTAAAATTTAAGCTTGTGCAATGGAAGTAGGTGTGGTAAAGTAAGACCTAGTTTTAAAATGTCATTTAATGGTATTTCAAATATTCAAGGCATGTTGAATTCGATGAAGAGAGGGGGGTAGAAATCAGTTGTTTGAGGTAATGTACAATTCCAAAGCCTCCTTTTTTCTTTTTTTAATGAAATTCGTTAAAAAAGTAAATGACATTGTTTAATTTACACGTTTAGACAAAATAAGCTTTGAAAATCACTTGAATTGTAATTTCATTTGATAAATAACTGGCTAGATAAAAAAATTCCAACTTGGTAGATTGTATAATAAATGCAATACTGGCTGGATCATTCAGATGATATTATGCTTTCATTGTTAAAAACTGGTTTTTTTCTGCAACTTTCAGAGAAGAAATATAGAGTACAAAGTCTGAAATCCAGAATGATCTAAAAAGTGGACATCTAGACCACCAGCAACCTTTTTCTTTTTAATGGTTTACATATGTGCATTTGATATTTTTCATAAAAAATGCATTAGAGACACCTGATTTTTAATTTCACTTTGGCACCAAATAAAATACCTTCATGTTGAATTAAGATTCATTTATTAGCATAAATCTGTATGATTAATAATTTATCTCTATAGCTGCTTTTTATCTTGGCTTTGGAATATAAAGCTTGGCATACATCTTGAACCAAAACGTTTTATATTGATTAGTTGGAGAAATGACTTATGCAGCCATGTCTAAAAATTTTGTTTGATTAGTAAGTGAATACCAAAGAGGATGGTAACCTTTTATGTTGACATTGTATTTGGCAAAGATTACAGACTTCAGCCAATTGCACTGCAAAACATTGAGTGTGTTGACTAAGAGAAATTCATTTCCCTATATACCCCCCCCCAAAAAAAAAGATTCATAGGCTAAAAGACTGCATTTAGTGCTCTTTGAATTAAGAATAATTTATTTGTTTTTCTGATAAGTCTGTACATGTGAGAAATTATTTATTCAGAACTTGTGTAAACCTTGAGTATATACAGAAAATGGATGTCAGTTTAGTGAACAACACACCTCTAGTTGTCTATCTCATGATACATCACCAATAGGTGTATAGTGGGTGCTAGCTAAGCTCATTGAGGATAGCCGTGAATTTGAAGATTTTCAGATATCACATACAAATGGCAAAATTTTCCAGTTAGCAGACTTTGTGAAGGAATGTGGAGAAGTGGTAATAAATGGAGATGATATAACAGAAGTTTTCATTGCGATGACAATGACCCAACCATCAATCAAATAACGAAAAGCAAAATCAGTAGTATGTTTCTAAATACAGAAAATTGGTACTGATAGTTAAGAAAGTGACATAGAATGAAAAAATTTTGATTGACAATTTAGTGGGAATTCTTGACCAGCAACTTGAACAATGGACCTTTGTAACTGAAAGAGGAATTATCTGTCCCTAGAATTAAAGAGAAAGTACTAGTACAAAAAATCAAGCAACTTAAAATTTGCATTGAAATATTTCATAAAGCAAACAAATAAATATTGAGATTTTTTTTGTAAATTTTCATTCTCTTAAGGTCATAAATACTTTATTATTTTATGAACAGCTCTTTCATATTTTTAATTTTACGATATCTACATACTATTACTAGACATACATATTACGTTTATAATATCTACATTCTGTTATGAGGCTACATACTGTTATTATCTGTTACTAAATTTACTGACGATCTAATATTCCAGAAAAATTCCAAGTCCTCACAAGTTTGAATCTCGGACTTCGTACTGCGTACAATATCTTTAAAAGTGGTTCAGTCAGTATGACAGTTATTATGTACCTGAAACTTGTCAATTTGTTTACTTTCAAGTATTAATTTTTTTTATAATTATTCGATACAAAATTGTTATAAAATAAGTAATAACTCATTGTTTAAATATTTTAAACTGCTTCATAAAACAGGTGTGTTGTACATGTGCAAATGCAGTTACTTTTGTTTTGGCATGTAAAATATGATCCATGTAGAACACAATTATTAATTAGTGTACTTAAATTTTACTTTTCTCAGACTATTTAACAGTTGTCTTCATACATTGTATATATTATGTTTAATTTAGTATGTACTGTTTCATTGCTAAGCATGTAATATTATAATGCAAAAACATGATCTGAATTGCATTGATTGATTGCATTATCTTAAAACATATCAAGCATTTCACTTGTAATGAATTACAAAGACTTCTTTTTTGATAAATTCTTAAATCAATTTCCCTAGTTGCATATAATCCCGTCAACCATGAATTTTGGCTGTCGTTGAACCATGAAAGTTGGTAGAGATCCTATTAAACTGTACTGTCTGTTTCTGCAGAATGCAGAGCCACAACTCTTGCAATAAAACATTCAGTCTCTCTGCATAATCCACTAAATAGCCACTGCTGTGGAAGTATTTGACTCACTTCGTAAAAAGGCTTTGATTGATTTCTGTTATTTTGTTAAAAATGTTGATTATTCGAGAGGCTAAGTTTAGAAAAGCACGAGTACAAACTTCCTGCAGTTGATTGTTCATATCTATTACTGTTTTATTGGTAATATCCAGGTGTTCTTTTCCTATTCAATAGATTTTATTTGTCTTGACCAGCTATAAATGAACATGTATGATCGCAAATGTTATTCTAAGCCTGCAAACTTTTTTTTTTTTAAAAATGCAACAAAAAATACAGCAACAATTAATTTATATCCTTGTTCATAAAAATAAAAGGTGGCTCATTGAGAATCAATTAGGTACATCAAACAAAAGCACTGATGTTACAAGTATCTCGTGACATCACACTTAGTCATTATTGGTGCTAAATCTCACTGCTTATTGTCAGTTTCACAATCAGTGAGAAAATATGAAAGTACTTAAATTTCTAATTTGATATAATTGTAATTGGATGTCTAATGCAATTATGAAATTTTGGATTTAATATTAAAATCATTTTCAATGTTAAAAGGAAATATGTATTGTTTTATAAAGGTATATGAATTTCTTCAGCAACAAACAGTATGTTTAGAACGTACATATATTAACCTGTTTAAGAACTGCAATAGTATTAATGAAGAATGTAACATTATTTTAAGATATACTAAAAACATGCATTAATTCTATCAATTAATACTTGTGAATTTGCATCTTCAAATAATTAGAAGCTCTTTGGTACCTTAATATATATATTTTTTAATTTCCTGAAGATTATTTTTCAAATGATTAATATCACAACTAAAAAAATTAATATTTTGAACTGAACCTGAGGTAT